TCTTTGTCTTATTAATCTCACTATCTTATCTTTTTTATGACAACGTGTAGATAAATTAAATAAATATTAAGTTTTAATTACAATCATTTTTTTAAGCTGTTAATCTGACTTAAAACTTAATTTTAAATTTTTATGAAGATAAAATTTTAGTTTTTATTATCGTTTATATTTTTTTCTGGAAATGTATATACAGAGTGTCCCAACTAATACTTGCCCAAGTTATGTAGTGTCGTTGATCAAGAAATATACTTTAATTTTTTTTAATTTCAAACTGTTAAGTTTGAACAAGGCTATTACACTTAACCTTATTTATCTGTCAACTGTCAAATTTTGTTTCACTTTTTAAAGATAACTTAATTAACAAGGTTTTAAATCAAGTTTTCGATCAGAGAAGCCTGTTATTCTAAAATTAGGTTGGTAAGACTGAATAATTTTATTTGAAAAACAAGTAAGTTATTAAACATTCATATGTCAGACTGTAGATAATTTCTAATTAGCAAGTTGGTAACGCTGTCACTTAAAAAAAGCATCTTAATATTGGAGTCTAGAGGATTACTAAAAATCAGTGCTACCAATCGATTTTTGTTACACTTATTTACCAATATTTTGTCTTTTAATATCTAATGCGTCGTTGCCAAGTTAGATTAGTTAATTTTTTTTTACAAAAAACAAACTTTTAACACTACAGGGTGTTTCATTATTTTAGGAAACTTGTGTTTGATTTCGGTTGCGATGTTGCCAAAGTGTCAAATTTTCTACAAGAAATCTGAAAGCTCATCATTTAAATAATTTTTTCTGCATTATTATATTTTTTCAAATTATACCGGGTGTTTTATTATTTGAGATCTAAACAGATTTTCGATAGTAATCGCAACAATTTTTCACAATTTGTAAGAACCTCAATAATGTCAGTTGCAACGTTGCCAAGTTGCCAAATTTTATTATAGAAAATTTACACAATCCTATTTTTATTATTGGCATGTATTAATTTTTTAATTACACAGGGCGTTTCATTATTTTAGTATGAAGTTGTAAATTAAAAAAAAAATTTGCAAATAAGTGTTCTAATATTTTCTCTTAATATTTATTATAATTATTAAAAGATACAGGGTGTTTTATTATTATTTGACTAAACTTATATTTTTTTTAATCGCGCCAACGTTGCGAAATTGTTGAATTTTCTTAAAAATCGGAAAACACATATTTTGATGAATTTTTTCTCCTTCACTTATTATTGTATACAAGGTGTTTTATTTTTTGTAATTTATATAGCGTAGATTGACTGATTTCTACATGCTATTAATTTATTAAATTATACAGGGCGTTTTTATTATTTTACTATAAAGTTGTATTTTTTTTTATCTGAGGAAAATACTCTAACATTTCCTCTTTATATTTAGGTATTATAATTATTAAAAGATACAGGGTGTTTTATCATTATTTGACTAACCTTATAGATTTTTTAAATTGCACCAATCTTGCCAAATTGTTAAATTTTCTTAAAAAATTGGAAAACATTTATTTTTTCTACTACACTTATTAATATTATTCTTTATTATTGTATACAAGGTGTTCTTTTATATCGTTGATTGGCTGATTTCTAGATGCTTTATTTTTTTTTAATATACAGGGTGTTTTATTAGTTCAGAGCTAAAAATGTTTTAACAATTTTAATAAAAACTCTAAATTGATGTTTTGTCTTTTGACTTAAGGTGACGACGTTGCCAAGTTGTAAGTTTTTCTCAAAAAAAGTACATATTTTGATACATATTTTTTCTTAATTTAAACATACAGTGTGTTTTATTATTATAGGACTAAACTTTCTTTATTTTTCTTTATT